TATAATTATTAGTATTTCCTCATTTTAGAGTTTTCTATGCACTGCTTTAATTCGTTAAATTTTTTAAAGTTTATTCATATTTTGTGCATTTCATTGGAATTGAGCATAGTGTAATAATTGATTTAAAGAACATCAACTTTTTTTTTTTTACCATATCGTCCCTTTATACCATGGTATTGCTTTTCCTTTTATATGGCTTATATGGTTATATATCTGAAGTAGCACTCCAGATGCAAGGTTTGATATTTAAAACATGGCACTGGAAATCTCAAGCAATTACTACATTAATAATTCAGTAATGCATACTGTGTTGTGTGGTATGAATCAACTCATTGGTTCCCAAATGTCAGTATGGAAGGAGCATTCATGACATGCTTATTTAGGTGACTCTTGACAGCTGTCCCCAGTAATTCAAGACCCAGAGATCTGCATGTTTGAAAAGTACACCAGATGATTTTGATGTAGGTGGTCCTGGACCACACTTCTAGAAAGTAAAGGAAGTGTCACACATACGAAATCAGTACTGGTCCCAGACCAAGTGGTCTGGCTGGATGGGAAGAAAACTCACCAGAGCAGCTGGTTAGGACCACTGGCAGCAAGAAAAGCCAGCTGGGCAGAATGTGGACCACACAAGAGAGGAGAACAAGATGCAACAAGGAAAAAGGGAACTCCAGCTTATCTATGGTCACAGATGGTGAAGACCTAGGATAATAAATTTTCCTTCATATGATTTTATATATTCCATGCCCCAGGTTTCTGGATGAACTAATTCAATTAAAGTCATTTCCTTCTGCTTATTCCATTTAAAACAGCAGCACCCTTTGGGTGACCCCTACCCTCTTATCTGACCCTTTACCTCCCTATTTAGTTTATTACTTGAATTTACACATCTTAGAGTCAGCAGGATTTTTACTTTAGGAAAATCTCTGATATCTATCAATTGATTTCTTTTGGACTTTTAACATCTTGAGCAATTCATTTATAACTAATAATAGCAGAGGCAGAAATATCTGAGAGTCAGCAATCATTTTTAGAGATCTAGTCTTTCTTTTCCCTCCTTTTGTTTATAAATGTAATTTATACCAGAGATAATTAAAGGAATAAGTAAAGGGCCATATAGTGATTATATTTATATTTCCTGTGTAGCATAGCAGGATAGCCACAGCCTGAGCCTTGGCACTTACACCAGGATATGGACCAAACATTTACTGGTATGAATGTCATTTCAAGATTTTTTTTCCTATGAAGGGAAGTAAGACTGAGTTTATAAAATTAGGAATAATATGTCTCCCTTGAGTTTCCTTTGCCAACTGAGCTATTTACAATATGTTTTTGGAGTTTGTTGCATGGACCACACCAGGGCAAGGAAATTTTATTTGGATTAGGATCATAAGAGGTTTTAGTGACTCAACTGAGTTTATACTTAATATAGGTCAATAAAAAGCAGAACATTTTTCCTGAATAACATCTGTGCTGAAAAGTTACAACACATTTCCTGAGACCAAAACATTAAAATAGGGTGTTTATTGGAACCAATAGATTATGCTGTTGATAGAACTAATATATACTTCAGTCTTGTCAATGTATAGATTATTTTTTTCCCTAGAGTCCAGAATGCTGCTTTTTATTAAAAGAAAAAAGCAAGCATGGAGTATATAAGATGCGAATTCATTTTAGATTGCTTACATAGTTTTTTAAAGTCAGTTTACTGTAATCTTCAGTTACTAGGTTGCTGTAACAAAAGATTTCCATGTTTCCATTAAAATACTCATTGAGCAGAATTATGGTTTCTTGAAGTTCACTTTATAGTATATTGAAGCAATTAGTTTAATGCTATACTTACTAAATGTTATAGGAGTATTTTAAATTAAAGCTTTATTTTTAGAAAAAAATGCAGAAAAACAGAGAGAAATGTTGAAAAACCCTGTATAATTTCATCATCTCAAAATAATAGCCATTTTGTAGGTTTAATGTATTAGCATGTGGAATTTTTTTCTATGTGTCTCAGCCATACTTTTTACTTTTTAAATAAATGTATGATTATAGTGTATATGCCTTCTGTACTTTAAAATTTAATATTCTATTGTATTTTTGATCTCCATGGATCTACCCTATTTTGGGGAACTTCTAAACTTACAAAGTTTTCTCAAGTAAAAAGTACTGAAAATATATACAAGAAACTCTAGGCCATGTAGTAACTAGATTTTTTGCATAGTTTTTCAGCTTTTGTCTGTGCACAGTCTGTATTGAAATGTTAACTATACAGGAAAACCTGAGTCATACTGGCTGAGTTGGAATCCCTGGTCCACAATTTATTGACTTTTTGATTAAAGGCTGTGTTAATTACTTTTTTTGATGCTGAGACAAAAATACGTGATGCCCCAAGTTAAAGGAGGAAAGGTTTATTTAGCTTACAGTTTGTAGAGGTTTCAGTCCACAATCTGCTGGCTGCGAGACAGCGTGGCATCACAGAAGAGACCGTTCATGGCGAGCAGGAGGTAGCAGAACAAGTAAGGAATAACCACAGCTCTTTCTATCCCTTCTATTTTATCCAGGCTACTCAGGGTGGGTAGCACTCACACCTTTAATCCTAGTGCCCTTTTTTTTTTTTTTTTTTTTTTTTTTTTTTTTTGGTACTGAGGATTGAATTTGGGCCTGAGGCAGGCGGTGGAAACACTGAGCCAAATCCCTGGCAGAGGCTTATTTTTTTACTTAGGTAAGCTTCAGTTTCTTCATTTATACAGTGGGATACTTCTACCTGGAAGGATTGCTTTGAAAATGATAAAAAATGATTTAAGTAAATGAGTACTATACCTAGTAAATACTCAAGAAAGATTATTACAATATTATGCTACATTAGTATATATATATCTATTGTTTGTTGTGTAAAAATGGAGTCATCACATATTTTGTTCACTTATTTGCATTCTTCATGTATATAACAAGACATACTTATTCATCAATACATTTAAATTTACCTCCTTTTCCTAAGGTAGATAGCATTCCTTGCATGGATATTTTAAATTTGCTAAACCATTTGCTTATTAATGGATATTTGAATAATTTTTAAATTTTTGCTATTAAGATGAAGGTTTTTTTAGGGCCAGGGATTTAGCTCAGTAGTTCTGCCTGCCTCACAAGCGCAAGGACCAGAGTTCAATCTCTGGTACCACCCCCCAAAAAATTAAAAAAAAAAAAGATGAAGGTTTTTTAATATCATTGTACACATACCTTTGTACATTTTTATTTCAGAACAGGAAGTACACCTTTGTTTTTAGTGATACCGCATTTCCATTGCATAATTATATCATTATTATTGTTTTAAATAGTGTTGTAATATCTTTGAAGCTAATTTGTGATGACTTTCCTAGGATAAGGACATGTAAGTGCCTTGCTGAGTTAGAAGGTATGCATGCCTTTTCACCTTTTCAGTTTCATTGATAGATTTTTTTCCCCTTAAGAAAGATTTTTCCATTTGATGCTATTATAGGAGCAGCCATCCTACCGTACCTTCACCAGTGAATGCTAGATAATAGTTTTTTTTTTAAACAACTACACCAGTGTGATGTGTAAAAAAATTGGCAAAGTTTTTAGTTTTATTTTTAAAACTGCTAATGATGTTTTATATTATTTATGTGTTGATTTTGTGATTTATGTTTCTTTTGTACATCTATTCTGTCTTTATTGTTTGCAGGGATTGTTTACATACTAAATATTTGATCCCACCATGTATCTTTTGTAAATGTTTTATATTTTATATGTCATTTGCTTCTTTTCATTTGTCAATATTTTGCTATGTGAAAGTTAATTTTATGTAAACAAATCTATTAATCTTTTTCCTTGATGTCCTGAATTTTGTTCATTTTTAAGCTTTTTCCACGTGAAAATTTTCTTTTGGAGAAGGTGAGACAGTGTCTCACTATAGATAGTTGAGGCTGGCTTTGAATTCACTGTGTAGTCCAGGCTGGCCTTGAATTCATAGAGATCCTCCTGCCTCAGCCTCTCCAATGCTTAGATTACAAGTCTGCGCCACCAAGCCAGCCATCTTAACATTTTTATGATTTTATATTTTACATTAATTTTTTTACTTATAAGTAATGTATTTTGGTCAGTGATGTAAGACATAGAGCCAGATTTTGCTGTCCTTAACCAGTGTTTAAGTACCCTATTCACAGACTGAAGAATTGTAATTTGAATTGTATTATGTTCACAGATAAATCTGTAGGTGACCTGCGATCTTTACCATATTATGTCATTTTCATTTATCAAATCTTCTGTGCATTTTAAGTTTTATAGTTTTCTTTAAATGGATTAATGCATTTACTAATAAATTGATTTGAGAGTATTTTTTTTTCAGTTCAATTTTTTTCAGAAATACAATCAAATAATGATCAGTTTATCCTTTTACAAATTTATGCTAATTATTTTATTTTCTGGTTAGTTTCCTCCTTTTTATACTCTGTCCACTTGCTTCCCTCTCTATAATTTTCCACTTCATTTGGAAAAATCCTCTGAGATGTGTTATATATAGCATTGATTTGATAGTTTTGTGTCTGTATTTTATTACATCTCTTGATTTTAAAATTCTGCAATAGCAATTTTTGCCTCTTTGCATTTTTATTAACCCACTCTATCTGTTTTATAGGGTTGGTTCTTCTAGAATATGCAGATTTACTTTTTCTCCTTAGTCAGCCATGTGCCTGCTATGTCCCTGGAGTGTCTTCTAAGTATTGTGAGCAGAATGAGGTGTGTATAACGACATGGTCCTCCCTTCTTGGATCTTACTCTTTATGAAGAGTTTAGAGACTAGTGGTTGGTGCATCTTTTTTAAAAATGCATTTAGCCGGGGATTTAGCTCAGCAGTTCGGTGGCCTGCCTTGCAAGCGCAAGGACCCAAGTTCAATCCCCGGTACCACAAAAAAAAAAAAAGTGCATTTAACTTTTATTGCCATACCACTTTTTTTAATATTGTAGAATTTTTTTATGCATCAGACACTTACCCATTTTACCTTTTTTCATCTTTATCCATTCCTAAATGAAGATAATTCATACTATTCCAGACAGTAGTTGTACCTGCAAATGAATATTAGCTTTATGAGGACAACACATTTTGTTTGCATATGCTGTTATGACCTGCAGGTCTACAGCAGTGCCTGGCACATGATAGGTGCTCTGTAGGTAATGATTGAATCAATGCACGGTTGATTTTCCTTCATTGCCGCAATTTCACTTTGTGTTACACTTCTCTTACAAGTTAAGCCAAAGAAATGTAGCTTTATCAGTTTCCAATTCTTGTGAGCAGGTCTTTTGGCCTAAAGGAGATGAGGAGAGAGCAACCAGCAAGAAAGCTTTTTCTCAAAAGGTTTTTCGCCAAGTTTCTGAAGCCACAGTACCAGTGTTCTGCTTCCCACCTCTAACTTTTACTGTCATCTACCTCTACTCTGGAAGTGTTGGCTAAGTTGGAAGAGTAACCTTGTGTGCCCAGTTGTGGTGGTAATATGTGGCCTGCTACACTGAACACACTCAGAAAAATTTTCTGCCTTACCTGAGCAAGAATTTTGTCAAGATGAGACCCTGCTTTCTTTTTATTGTGCCCACACTATTACTGTCTGCTTCTAGGTGAGATGCGGTTGCCTCTAAGCAGTCTTGTACTGTGCTAGCAAAGGGACTTCTGGAATTGTTCTGTTTCACCTATGGCTCACCCAGGCCTCTGTCCTTGTTCCTTCATCAGGAAGTAATAATGAGTACTGGCAGGATAACTTGTATTTCCTGTATTTGCCCTTTTTTGGGGAGAGGGGTACCGGGGATTGAACTCGGGACCTTATGCTTGCAAGGCAGGCAGCAGAACCATTGAGCTAAATCCCTAGCCCTGCCCATTTTTTAAAATCAGTGGCTACAGAGTTCGTTTGATTTTTTTTGTTATGCAAATAATGAAAATAGGAAGCTGAGAACAATGCTCAGTAGTAGAGCACTTATCTAGCATTCTCAAGGTAAGATGCAGGAATAAAATTGAAAATCAAAATCCTGTATCAGCAAAAAAATTATACAGAGGATACTAAAAGACTCAGAACATAGGTGTTAAATATAGTACAGATGAGACTTAACTGAAGATAGCTACTAAGAGCTGACTCATTAATTTCTTATTTGAATGGTAATATTTTACCCCTGGTACTAGGATCAAAACCAGGGCTTGAGCAAGGTGTTGCTATATTTCCCTTTGGAGAGGAAGGTAGTTTCCATCCTCTTCCAAGGAGATACAATGAGGCAAACTGATGGAGACTATGGGGACACAGAAAAGATGGCTACTGTCGGTTGACTAGGGTGGATCATGCAATACCTTGTAATCTGGTCTATGACTACCACTATGCATACTTCTTATGTAGTATATTTAAATCAAGACAGATTTGCTCCCTCAACTTTTGCTTTTCCAGTAGTGGTTGTGGGTGTATACTGTTTTCCCCATCATCTTAAAATCAGATAAATGTTTTGAGTCTCCCAAGTTTTGTGTTAGATATAATCAACATCAGACTGTGCATCAAAGAAAGCTGAGTAGCCCAAATGTACATCTTCAATGAGAAAGCGTAGATTGGTGGTGGAACTCAGCTGAACAAGGAAACCAGACAGGACCAAGCCCTCAGTGAAGAACACCGTGAAACTTTTCTTTGTTGCCCTTCAAGTCATCCAGGGTTTTCACATCTTGCCCAATTTTAATTTTTTCAGCTTCATATGTTCTAAGATTCTTGGGGTGCTTGTTATAATGCAAATTGTGGGCATCTTCCCATTCCCAAATTCCTTACTCTAAGTCTGTAAGGTCCGACTCGACGCACCTTCCCCCAATGACCAGCCGAGACCGTACGGATGCAAGATGCAGAGGTTTTATTGCGTGGGCCACGGGCGTCTCTAGTGTCCGAAGACAAGAGAAGCGCGCCGCCAAGGATGATCTTGCTTATATATATAGTTTGAAGAGCGGGAAAGCGGGCTTTACAGAAGCAGATTTGCGGATTGGTTAATTCATATGAGGCTATTTGCGGGTTGGTTAATTCATACGGGGCCATGAATACAGGGGAGGGGTTTAACAGGGGAATTTTGGCGCCGAAAAGTCCCTGATCCGTTAAGAGGTTTCGAAAGCCCGGGACTTTTTGGCGGGCAATTCAGAGCAGTGAGTGCTATTCCGGGAACAATGAGGCCCGGGACTTTCAAGTCTAGTTCAGGTCCTAGGAATCAGTGTTTTAACTGTTGACCGTGATATAAATGGTTCCCTTTGAAAAACACACTTATCTGGAGAATGCATTCAGCACTTCACTCTCAGCAAACTACAGCTCTGCATTTCACATAGAAGTATAGGTTTGGTCCCTACTAACTTTACACTAACCTAGTTAATCACAATTCATTCACCCCTGTTGTTACCTTTTCTCCTCTTAAGTTTACCTCCACACCTCCATGCCCACTGTCTCAGTTGAGCAGCCCCATCAGCCTGATGTCTGGGTTTCTCTTCTATTCTGCAAGTCCCAGCAGATCTCCCTCTGCTTTGTGGAGAGGTGCTGTCCGAAGCACTTCAGGGCACCTGAAAATTGATTTACAGTGTCCAGATTAGATTTGCTCTTGTGTGCATAATTACCATTATGGGTTATTACCAAGAGCTTAGTTTCTTGCTAGGGATTTAGCTCAGTGGTTCTGCCTCCTGCCTTGACCCGAGTTTGATCCCCGGTACCAAAAAAAAAAGCTTAGTTTCTTGCTCAAAGCAAAGCTTGGTAGCATCTCATTTATTAAAATTAAAGAATCAAACACAAGTGAATTTTTAAAACATGTTTTATGATTGTCTCTCTAGGTACTTAAAAAGGTTTTGCTCACCTGTTTTAGAAAGCCTCAAAAATTATTTTAAAAAGGAGGAAAATTTGCAGTGAATTTGGAGGTTAAGAATGAGAACAGAAATGCTGTCCTTTAAGTGTGCTTTTAAAAAGGTGAGGTAGGTATTTGTTGTGTTACCCTTTTGGTTGTATCTTTAGGAAGGGAGTAACTGGAACATTCTCTACCTGATGGCTTTGTGCTTGCCCTTCCCCCTCTCTCAAATACAGCTCCCTTTCCCTTTTTGTCAAGCTGACTCCTTACCCTTCCATCTTCAGCTTTGGTATCACTTTTGGGAAGGAAGCCTTCTTTGTTAGAATTCTGTTCTACATTCCTCACAGCATTCTTGGCTGTATTGTGATGAAAGCCCTCTGGCTTGCCTGAATTTCTAAGGGTGGAAGCCCCAGGAAGGCAGGACTTTGTCTGTCTTGATGACACATTCCCATTGCCTTTCATTTAATGGGTGCTCAAAAAACAGTGCAAAGGCAAAAAGAAGTACAAATATTGAACCCTGTGTCCATTATGTACAGAATTTTGAACAACTTAATCTTTTAATTACATATAACCTATTATAGGCAATGTTGCTTAATGATAGGGCCACATTCTAAGAAGTGTGCTGATTTTGTTGTATGAACATGACAGTATTAATTACACAAACTAAAATGGGCACAATATCACTAGGAAATACATTTAAACCTTACCAGATCACCTTAGTACACACAATCCTTTGTTAACTGAAGCATCGTTATATGGCACATGACTGTATTTTACTGGTCTATAGTAAATTGCTTAGGGATGGCCAAAAAACATCGTATCTCAATCAGGTGACTTTAAGCTGCTCTATTTTTCTAGTTTTGTGTGCTTTTTACAGTATGTCTTTCAGCTGATATCATTTTGTCTTGAAGTTTGCAATCTGGTACCCTATTATGTATTCAGCATAACCAGAAGATTGAATTTTCCATTTTATGGTTCAACAAATTTGTGAAAATTATCCTCCTTGAAACTCAGAAATATTTCTTGCTTTGCTTTATCCTAATGAAGTAGTCTCTAGCTAACACTTTTTTTTTCAGATAAGTGGTAAATGTAAATGCTATCAATTAATCTTTACTAGTCTTGGCAAATGACTATTGATTTCCAGGTTCACTTAAAGGGACAAGAACACCAATAAGGGAATTTTTCCGATTATTGGTCATCCAAAAAGTGTTTCTAAAAGACTCTTCTTGCTAGAAAGTTCTCTTGAATCTTAGAATAACTGCAACATAATAGTGAAATAGTGTGGCATCCCTATTTTATTACTAGGAGTAAATGAAAATGCTCAGTGAAAAAGAAAATAATGAAACACTAATACATGTATATATGTGCATTTATGTACAGATGAGCAAGTAAGGAGGTCCATTTTACTGATCAGTTACATGTGTTGTACAAAATAATCAACTATAGGTAAACATTAAATATTGGCAGAAGCAGAATGATACTTATTTTATATGCTTATCTATCTACATATGCTGCCTATCTGGGCTGTCACACTTACAGTTTGGATAAGGAACTGAGATAAAGCACTGCTGTTTTATTGAAAGCTGCTCAACTAACAATTCCTTCTTACCAAATTCATTTTTAAATATGTGTTTCCACTTTTTAGAAGTTTCATTTTTTTGTACCACTTTTAGCTTACCGGCATCAGTTTTATGGAAAAGTATTTTAGTTACTTAAAAAGATTACAGATTTCTGTCCCCTGTATCTACAAAGGAGAAAAAACATTATAACAAAAATAAACAAACCCCCAAACAAAAGCCTAAAAGTAGGATGACAAAGTAAGAGTTCTTTTCGTGCAAAGAAAAACTCTAATTGAAGGAGTAATCTTAGGATCTCACTGTTACATAATTATCTTAATACAAACAGCTTTTATTTATGTATTTATCAGATTCAAGGGATACTGCGTTCCCTTTTTCTGAATGCTAACTAAATGCAAACCAAATGCTTCCTGGTGAATTGCCTTGGTGATCATACTTACATGTTTCATTTTGGTAACATTGCTCAGTAAATTTGAAATTCTGAGATTCATTTTAGTCCTAAGACTTGCAGTGCAACCTGGATCATTAAGTCTACTAAAAACCAACAAACAAGAGGAAAACAGGAAGCTGTACCTAGTAAGTTCTTGGTTTTGTAGCTGTGTTACATTAAATCTCTGTAGAAAGTCTTAACCTTTTAACCAGAAGCAGTTATGGTTTTTAATCAGTTAACCCTGTTTGATATCCTTTATTATGGTTTAAAAAAAATACCATCTCTCATCAGCTGAGTTTTCATCTGAATATAACAATAAGCACGAGAATTAGCACCTCCTTTGATACGTGTATTGGTAAGATGACTGTACTAGGAATTTCATAGAATACTGCCAAACTGGGAGGCCTAAAAAAAAACCCATTGAAGTTAGAAATTTAACCATTTGGAGCTGAAATTACAGATGGAAATTATAAGAACAGCTATTTTATTTTTAAAAATATACTCATTTGAAAGTCAAAAGTGACTTCCTCTTTACCTCTGAATTGAATTATAATACATTGAACTTTGATATCTATTAACAAAAATTTATTCCATTGCTTCACAAACAAAACCATAAATACAGTCATTAGTGTCAACTCTGGTCAGCTTTTTTACACAAAAGAGCTTCAAAGAATATAGCTTAGGTTTGTGGGATTTGATTATAATATCGGATAGTGTTTGTTATCCATGATAATGAGATATAATAGATCACAAGGATAATTTGAAATCTATAGAGAACCTCAAAATCTAATTTAGCCACTGGTTTTAATCTTTCTTCCAAATCTTTTATCAGAATTGATAATTATCTAAATTGATTTATTGGAGTGTGTTTCTACTTCATTCTGTTGGGGTGAGGGCTAAAAGACTGTTGGGCTATGGGAGACAGGGATGATAAGGAAGTAGAATTTAGGTGACCATTTTTTAGTATAATCTTTGGTTATTTTTAATTGATTATTTTAGAAAGGAAGTTAGGTCCCTCCACTGTGCTTATGTTTACAGACCAATAATTTTCAAAGTTGTAAGCCTTTAAAGAAAATCTTGATTAAGTTATTTCTCTAAAAAAACCCCTTGCATATTGGAAAAGGCAAAACCTTTGAAGTGGAAAATTGCTTCTCTGGAAGTATACTGTGAGTCTAGAACTATGGATTCTCTGGGACACCATTTCCTCAGCCCTCATTTGTCAGACACTGTACTAAGTGCTTCTGATACAGTAGAAAACTATTGTGTTCTTCAGCATGGAGTGGAGTCTGGAAGTCAAATGAGATTGATTACTAGCGACACCTCTCTTGGAAGAGCAGAGACTGTGGGAATAGTTGCATTGGTATAATTGAAGGGTATGTTGAAAAAGAGAATGGTAATTCCTTGTTTCTCCAGAAGACCAGAAACGGTATCCATAGTCTGTTTCAGGGAAGTTGTTTTTTACTTGATGGGTTAGAGAATTATGGAATAGCTAGAGCTCTCATGTAGAAGAAAAGGTTGACCTGGGAGAAGGAACTTTGTGTTACCAGCCTCAGACATAGCAGACATTGAAATATAGGAGAGACTCTTATATCAAGAGAAAGATTAGACTATTGACCCTAATTCTCTTTTAGCTTTTCATATTTTATTATTCTTTGAGTTGGTGAACTATATTTTGCTTTTTTGCTGTAACTGCTTATATTTACTTAGTATTAAAGCCCTGGGTTACCAACTTCACTGTGCTCATTGAACTCTGTTTACATTGTTGTCCTCCCACACACTCACTCATTGCTTTCCACCTGACATACTGTAGTGGCCTGTAAATGCAAATGTACCTGAATAAATTTTCCTCCATCCTCGTAAGTCTGCCATGTTGGTGACAGATGAATCTGTCTTAAATACCATCCTCATTACAGTACATACTAACTTTTTATTGCTGAAAAACAAATGACCACAAACTCAGCAGCTTAAAGGGTTTTTATTTTCCTGCTTCTGTAAGCCAGAAACCTGGGCCTGGTGTGGCTAGATTCTCTGCACCACTGTCTCAGCAGACTGAAATCAAGGTATTGGTTGGTACTGTATTCTCATTGGAGTTGGGGGTCCTCTTCCAGGCTCACCTGTTGGCAGACTTAATTTGTTGCAAACGTAGGTCAGAGAGCCCTGTTTTCCTTCTAGCTGCTGCTCTTAGCTCTTCGAGCCTGTGATCCTTTTGCATGTGGTTCTCACAGGTATTTCTCAACAGAAATGTGTTTGCTTTCTTCTAAGCCAGCCAGAGTATTTATGATTTTAAAATATAGATATTTATATTAGTTATTGGAAATGTTAATAGGAACATCTCCCTGGAGAAGGAAAGCAGATAAGATCGTATTTGGTGCATCTTGTCAGTCTTAGACTGACGGTTCAGAAGAGACTGGCTACTGGATCTGCAGCTTTCCTGAAATTGGGCCTAGTTGTTAAGGCTGCCATTAATGAAAGCTGCTGCTGCATTTTTCTTCATGGGGAAGCTTGGAATTCTTTGGTTCACCTCCCACCCAGGACCAGAGAAGGGTCAAGTTCTGTGGGTGAGAATATTACTCTTGCTTGGGCTTTCAGTCACCCTAGGCCTGCAGTGCTGTATCTCTGGACCTGTATTGGATGGGTCATGCTTCATTGACAGAATTGATTTTATGTTTATTTGTAAAAGTACGGAATATGAAATTACCAAATAAAATATAATTTCAAGAGTTATTAATGAAATAATATATTACATTCACTTTTAATGAGATCCTGGTGTTGCAGAATGATTCCATGTAATGAATCCCAGGAAATCAATGAAAAGTTTAATTACAGTTGTGGCAGAGTTGTATGAGAATATTGCTTTGGTCAATTTTACTTGTATAGTTTATCAATCCTCTCTGCCTTTCTCTTCTAAATTAATTGCTTTGATAAAGTAAGTAAATACATCCTTTATTAGCTTTGGAGCCTTTTTAGAATTGTATTGTTACAAATTTCAAATTTCCTCTTCTCCAGTAATAATAGTTGCCATCACTCGTTACCACTTTTGATTTGTACAGTTTAACATTAGGTAGTATTTCTGTTTTGTAAATTTAGTCATTGTCATGTCTTTTTAAAACATTGTCTTTTCTTTTGTTGATTTTTTGCAAACTACTTTCTGTTGCTTCTCAGTTTGTCAGTACTGTACATCTATTAGTCAGAAATCTAGTATGTATTCAGTGTGGCTTATCATCCAATCAAGCAGCAGGATGGATAAAAAAGAGTAAGGTACTTGCTCCTCTGATTAAGTTTTTATTTCATGTCACTGTACACCTTTTTAACTTTAAACAAAGTAAATTTTATTCTCAGAGCATCTTTATTTGTGATAGTTCAGTGATGAGGGCACTTGCCCATTTTGCTGGCAGTTGACTTTTATATATTTATACAACATAATACAGAAGCTGATCTGGATATTTAGAGATATCTAAAGCAGTTCTTTTGATAATTCTTCATTTTTCTAATTATATATTGAGAAAGTTATAGTGGATTTTCTTTTAATTACAGTTGTTTATGAGTAGTCTATTTTTGCCTTAAGGGTCAAGACCTTAAAATATAGTCAGTAACTAATTATATTTACTAATTTACCCTATGGACAGGAGTAATTTAGTTTGATTTTAAGAAGGCACATCCCAGTTTTTCTTCCCTCAAACTCTTGCACTATCATCAGCCTTTTATCCTGTCTGCAAGATCTATAGAGATCCTCAAGATGGTAGTAGTAGTGATAGGTTTGAAGTGCACTGTACAGGTGGAATAGATAATATTTTATAACAAATGAAATATTGAGGATGAAAAAGGAGAGGATCAAATGCTTTCTAGCTTTGTAATTTGTGAGTCTCTGTCAAAGATACTTTATCAGCAGTGGCACTCGATATTCTTCCTTGCCCGTGTGCCTGTCCTTAGAATTATCTATCTACCTGTTATGCTGCTTACTCCACCATTCCTGTATTTTCTTTTCTTTCCAAAACTTCCTGAAAGTCCAACTTCATCATCATCCTAAAGATTTCTCAGATAAGCTCACCAGTACAGAACATTTTCCCATGAATTCCTACTGCTCCATACCAGTATTTCTCTCAGGCAATTTCTGGCCATGTCAGCTTCTATAAACCCCAAGAAAGAAGTGACAGAGTCTACCAGAAAAGAATAACCTTGGTGGATATTTGAATTACATACTTCTGCCTCTGCGTTTTGCTCTTCCTTTGATTCCTGTCAGTCGCTGTTCAATTAGCAGCTCGCTCATCTGACCCTAGGACCATCATCTGTTACAGGCAAACTCTCCATTACCCTTGTCTGAAATTTGTCACAGAATTAGGACTCTTACTATTTGCCACCATATGTCATATTTATTCATGTATATTTATCAGCTCTCTGTGAATCTACCCAAGAGCAGGAGTGAGAGTGACACCGTATACATCTTTATCCCTTTACAGTGTCTGCTACCTAGACTTAGATAAGATCTGTTGTGAATTAGGTCAGGTGATTATTAATTTGGTATTCAATAAATGTTGAGTGAATCTGGAAAACTCATTTTATATTCTACTCATGAGTATAATGTAGTTAAAAGAAAACTAACATTTTTCTGTAATACATATAACATGTAAGACTTTTATCACAAAAAAAGTGTGGATTATTTTTAAATGCAAGATCAGCCTGTAGTTTGTGTTATGAATGTCACTGACTAATTTATGAGGAGGTTGGCTTCTTTGTCATTTTGGCTTGTACCGTCAGGAATCCTGCTGCTAACACTGTGTCTGCTCTGTTTCTGTATTGCAGCTCTGGTTGTAAGTACCACTTCAGCTGGATTTGCGTTGGCTCCAGGTCCTTTTGACTGGCCGTGTTTCCTGCTTACTTCTCTTGGAACAGGCCTTGCATCCTGTGCTGCCAATTCTATCAATCAGGTCAGTTTCTCACCTAGAGTATGCTGTTGGCACTTTTTCCTGGATGGTGGGATGGTCACATTTTTTAAAACTTTCCACGATGGAGAAGCTCCAAGAGCTTGTAGTTCTGTATGCCCTCTGAAAGTCTATGAGTTATATAACTGATTTTTCTTTTGAGTTTTGAAGAGAATGTTTCCTTTTGTGTGTGTGTTACTGGGGATTGAACTCAGACCTTTGTTATGCTCGGCTGTGTTCCTACCTCTGAGCTGCGTACTCAGCCCAGAGGTAAATGGTTTTCAGACAGGTTCAGACAAATGAGCAATATGGAGACTATATACTTCAAATGACCAGGATTCTTGGGTTAAAAATTGTGTTAGAGTGCTTAACTTTCTACTTACTAGTTTCTTTATTTCAAGTACATTTCCTGAAACTCATGAGTATTATGTGCTATTCTTTCTTGGTTTTATTTGTTTGCATTTTAAACTAGAACTATACAAAAGCAAAGTACTTTAGAGGACATATTCAGCTTTTTAAAAAGAAATCAGTAATTTAATATTTCAATAAATTTAATATAAGGAGCCAAATTAAAATATATAAAATATTAATTAGGTTGTTTTTGTTTTGTTTTGTTTTGTTTTGAGACAGTTTTGTAGTTCAGGCTAGCCTTGAGCTCTTGGTGATTCTCCTGCCTCAGCCTTCCAAGTGCTGGGATTATAGGTATGCACCATCATTCCCAGCTAGCATATTACTTTTAATGGACTCTTTTCTTTCCTCTGTTATTTTAAACATCCAAATAATTCTGTTTTAGTTTTTTCCCCCTGCCTGGTCACTGTGGTGTGCCCTGATGTTGTGGCTTTGTCATAAGATGATATATAGTGAAAATGTCTTGGCTAACACTTAAGGAAAATCATTTTCTTCACCAGAACACCCAAGAGGATCTGCCACAGTTTTTAAACAGGAATTCAAGTTATTAGCAGGAAAACAGCTTAGCTGAGTGAATATACAAGTATCTAGTCTGCAAAGTAAGGAAATTTAATTTGATAGTGCTTAAAATCATTGTTTCTGTGACATACTATTAGCTATTTAGAGAAGGCTCCATTTATTTCAAATAGGGGGTTAAAAAAACTTTTTTTTTTAAATTTTGGTGGTACTAGGATTTGAACCTAGGGCCTTGTACATAATAAGAGACAAGCACTCTGCCACTGAAGTACCTCCTCACACCCTTTTTAATTTTATTTTGAGATAGGTGCTCACTAAGTTATTTTATTGTTGTTTTGTTTTGATTTGTTTTTTATTGGGCGGGGGGGTACTGGAGATCAAACTCAGGATCTTGCACTTGCCAGAGAGGCACAGTGCCACTGAGCTAAATCCCCAGCCCTCACTAAGTTATTTTAATGTCAAACAATCTTACAGTGAGATTCAAATAAAGTCATTTATCAAATAAAGGATAAAGTCATTTATTGGGCTATTTTGTGTCTGTTTTGAAATTTTTTAATTTAAAGTATTACTTTTAGTTAGTTACAGACCTGGATCAGGAGACTAAGCCAGGGCACATTCTGGTTTTCAGCCTCCTTTTTCTAAATTTAGAAGCTGCACTTATCATTGATATACTAATTGCTGTGTGCTATTTAAATTATCTAAGTTTAAAAAGTATTTAAAACAAAAGTGCGGAGGTTCAGGGATGTGAAAAACAATTGCAAAGATTCACATGTTTTAGAAACCGCAAAATATAAATAATAAGTGTTGCCTTGAATTGGTACTACACTTACCTGCCCCCATCCACCTAGACAAACACGTAGCTCAAGAATTTCTCATGAGGAGAACTTTTCAGTTATAACAAGAAAGTATCTTGGAAAAAAAATGGACTGATTTACATGCAGGCAGAAATTGATAGGAGCTGAACAGGGGCCAAGGTTTTAGAAATTTTGAAAGGGCTATGCATTTAAATGGCTGCTTGAGTTCTAAATTTTGAAACTGCTGAGGAAAGCCACAAAATACATGATGGAATTCTTTTTGGTATCAAAAAAATTGCAGTGCCTGTGCTATTAATATTTCCTTCTTAGTGTGGTATTCCATCCCTGCTCAGCATCTCACTTGTACAGCTCTCCTGTTTCCTCTAGGACTCTCTGTCACTTTCTTCCTTTCTGTGTTATTAGTCCCCCACAGCATTATGAGTGTTGTGAGGTCAACTCATAATCCACCGTCGTTGCACAAATGAACTCCATCATCTTCTTGTACCAATCATATTGTTTCCTTAACTTGTCTTGGGTCCTCATTTCATTTGGAATCATCACAATACTTTAAAAAAAAAATGTCCCAACATCGTAGAATTCCAGTTTTATTGTTAGGGTAGTGTCTTAGTCTCTTTCTTATGGCTGGAACAAAACACTTGACACCCACAGGAGGCAACTTAAAGGAGGCAAGTTTTGTTTTGGTTCACAGTTTCAATGGGTTGAGTCCATGCTAGACCCATTTCTGCCCCAGGGCAGAGGGACATGGCAGCTGAAGAGCTACTTACTGCATGGTGGCCCAGAAGCAGAAGAGAGGAGCTGTCACCCGCCCCACCTCCTAACAAGAAATTAGGTATAGTGCCCCCGTGACCTATCATCTTCCAGAAGCCCTACCTCTGAATTAATTAATTAATCAATTAATATTAATTTATGGTACCGGGGATCAAACTCTGGTCCTTGCGCTTACGAGGCAGGCACCGGAACCACTGAGCCAAATCCCTGGCCCTACCTCTGAATTTATGAGGCCTTTGGAGGACATTCTAGATCATAAAACATAACAGGTACTGTTAGCTTCCCATGTTATATTTTTTCAATAATGTTTTAAAATTATTTTAATTCCAATATTGATGGGCAGACTCATAAATTTAAAATAATGTAAGAATTTAATTAGGCAGTGCAAAGAACACCAGGCAATAGTGATTTAAATAAGATTTTTTATTATCTTTTTATTTTATGAAAAAAGAAAATGAGAATAACAATAGTTAATACACTGTGTATCATTATACTCAGAGAGGTTACTCAGAATGTAGGATAGTAAGTTAGGTAAAGAAACAGATTTAGCAAAAAAAGAAGAATTCATTTTTTTGTAGAAAGCTCTTTTTCGTATTAAAGAGTGTATAAATGTGGTTGGATATATGTGGTTGGTCTATGTAAAAGTCCTTCAGCTCCTTTCTAGCAGAGTTCTATGAGTGAAAACATTTCCTTCTGTTCGTGTTTATAAAAGATTCAAATGGCATTATATATGTTATTTTTATGTACTTTATTTGAGCTGTTATTAATTTAGTACTGAGCCTTTCTTCTTTGTATCCAAGTTCTGTGATCTCTCTTGTGAAAGTAGAAAAAAATAAAACTTTGAGAAGCAATTCCTAGATTTGTTTTAAGGAGAGAAAAAGAGATTCAGCTTCTGATTTATGAAGTAGTGACTAGTGCATAAAGATCTGTATAAGAAACTGCTAGCATTGAAATGTAAAAATAAATTACATACATGTTTTGTAATATATATACATGTTTTATTCGAAACCATAGTGTAGTTTTCAGACAAGTATGGCTTCAAGGTTGAAATCAATCTATAAAATGTTTTCAATTTAGCAACTGAAAGATAAATATTATGAGTGGCTTTCACTGCTCAGTTCTTAAGAAAAAAGTGACAAACTGAATACCAGAATAAATTCAAGTGGAAAGTCTTCAGAATTTTTAAAAGAAAAGAATTATCAGAATATTATAAAAATTGTCTTGAGTATTTGACCTAATAGACCATGTAATCCTTAGCTGTAACTGGGATTATTTTCCTTGGGTTACTTATATTGTAGACCCCTCACCACCATCCATATTTCAGTTGCCCATGATCGACTACAGTCCAAAAATATTGCATGGAAAATTCCAGAGATCAGCATTTCATACATTTTAAGTAATTTTTATTATAGCATAGTTCAGGATCATTTTATTTATTACAGTATTTTCTCAAGATCAATAATAACTTACTCTTGCTGTTCGTCTTTTACTGTGCCTAGTTTATAAATTTTTATCATAGATATATATTTTTAGGAAAAAATACAGGAGACATAGGGTTTGTATGTTATACATTCTACATATACTAGTTTTTAGGTGTCTACTGGGGGTCTTGAAACATATCCCCTGTGGATAAAGATGGACTGCTATATGTGATATTTTTAATTTTTAAAAAATGTTATGAAAAAATAAAATAAAATTTTACAAACAAATCATAAAAGAACAATAGTTAATACACTGTGTATCATTATGATTGAAGTAGTTATCACAGTATAAGACATAAAACAATATTCTCTAAAAAAGAAACATAATAACAAATCTTTCCAATGAACTACAGCGACTGACACATTGTCATTAAATACATTTCTGTGGGACATATTTCACTGTTAACAAGCTACTTCATTTTATGGTTGTGCCTCAATTTTCTCAACAGATTCTGTTGTTTTAACTTGTGCTTCTCTGTAACTACACATTTCTAATTGGTTTTTTAAGGACAAATACTGGGAGTGAAATTGCTTGGAGGAAGACTGCTAGCCATGGAACATATGAAGCTGGCCTAACTGTGGGGTGTATGATCTTAACAAAATAATATTTTTATATTCGTAAAGTGCTATGGAGTTTACAGGCCATTTACAGAAATTATCCCTTAAATTTAACAACTCTGTGAAGAAGGTGGTAGTATTTCTATTTTTAAAACATTTCATTTTGCCATTGAATTTTTAAGGTAATAAGATTATGCAAATACTGCTTTCATTGCAAGTCAGTGAGAAAATAAATATAGATAAGCAAAAGTAATTATAACAGTTTTTACTTTTCCCTTATGTCAAGCATTATTGTTCGTTAGAATTATAGCACAGAAAAAAGAAAAATCCCTGCCATTCAAATAATCTACTTTTTAAGACTTTATTTTACATTATAGACTTCTCATACACATTTTAAAATATATAAATTCACATACAAATTTCTCAGATGATTTATGTAATGCTTATGGTTGTATATATT